ATTTAATCTGGCATTCATTTTAAGTTAAGAAATAGGTAATTACTTAAATATTCCAGATATCAGGGGAGAGAGGCTGGTTCTTGATAAACAGCTACCTTGGCTTCAACCTGCTGCTAATTATAATGGAGCCTTTATATTTCCAGGTAAAGCTGTTTATTTCTAAATGAGTTATTATGAGGAAACCAGGGAGAATTTCAAGCAGGAGACAGGCTCAGCTCCAACGTCGCCTTGCACAGCCTGTGTGTTTGGAGAAGCTCAGTGCTGTACCCTGGTGTGTGTACGTGTGCAGTGGGGTCTGGTGTAGGGGAACACGCTGGGTTGTTTTTGCTGCTTGTGCCTGCCCTCTTGCCTTGTGCTATGGAAACTGTATATTTTAAAAACTATTTATCTTCTACCTTACATTCAAAACACATGACTTCAGCTCCATCACATACTGACAAATGTCTGTGCCCTGACATTGAGGCAGCAAACATTAAAAGCAAGTATGTTTGTGTGACTCCGCCACCGCCCCCTTCCTCCTCCCAGGCATCTGCAAGAGAGTGAAAGTTGTGGGGAGGGAGCTGTGGCTGTGATTAAAAGCAGCCTTTTTCCTTCACCCCCCACTTCCACACACACACACTCAGTACTTCCCCTCTCTGCAGCTGGATGCTGCAGGCATCAGAACGAGAGGATTTCCTTCACCCATAGCCTTCCCCTTAGTTTGTTTGGTCCGAGACTTCCCACCACACAGTGGAGATAGGACTGTCCCCCCTGCCACCCTTGTCTGGACCAGCTCTCCCCCTCCCCCTTCACTCCAGCGGGAGATGTGGGGAGCGGGCAGCCTCGCTTATTATTAGCAAACGATGGTGAATCCCCCCCGCCCAGCTTTGAGGCAAACCAAGGGGTACATTGATCCCGGAGCCGGTTGTTTGCTCTGTGCGTTTTCAAGCCCAGCCAGAGATGACTAATTCCTAGTAAACAAGCCGGGACCTCCTTTTATAGAAAGCTGTTTACCGAGCAGGGGCTTGACCAAAGCGGGGCTCGGGCTGGGATCCCATGTCCGCACGCAGGGGAAAAAAAAGAACAACAGGGAAACATCGACTTTGTGGAGAGAGGCAAATGACGGGGGAAGAAGTGTTTGCAGGGGCTCGGTGGGGGAAGAAAGGAAAACAACCAGGGAATCGCGTGCGCACCTTCGTCACTAGGCAAGGAGGCTGCGCAGCAAACCCCGCCGCGGCACAGTTGTGGAGTGACCCTGGCGGCAGGGGGCTGGGGAGGGCCCCTCGCCCCTCATTACTGAATTGCCTAGACGCGCCTGAATCCCCCCACGCCGGCGGGTTTGTTTCCAAAGGAAACACGAGCGCTGCCCTTTATTCACACCTCGCGCAAAAACACGGAGGGAAATTAATTAATTTTTTTACGCACGAGGAGGGGTGTCCCCCCCGCCACTCCTCCTGTGTAGCTCTCTAGGTGGCGTTTCCTCTCCGCACGACTGCGGGGAGGGGGACAAGCCCCTGATTAATGAGAAACTGCAGCACCCACGGCTCCCTCAGCGCAGGGGCCGGGAGGAGGGCGAGCAAACGGGGCAGGGAAGCGGGAGGGGGGCGCACAAAGTCTGGGCACTATTTTTTATTTTGGTCTCCCTCCCTAGGGAGCAAGAAATGATGCGAGGCGGAGAGCTGGGAACAACCAGCCTGAGAGGAGAGGCGGCGAGCCGAAGGGCTGCACAATCGTGTCCGCCGCTACTCCAGCTGCCAAGCTCTTGTTACACGGTGCCATTCATAACTCGAGATGCCATTTATGAGGATTAAAAAGAAAAAATCCACGCAGCAGACTTTTAAATTTCATGGGCTCATCCTCCCCCCCACAGTTTTAGGTGAGGCTGCAGCTGCAGCGGACTGCGCTTCCCCCTCCACGGATGCTGTGAGGGGGTCTGCGGGGTGGGAGTGGGCTGAGGGGAGCTAGAGCAGCTCCAGCGCGCGCGTGTGCGTGGACGTGAATCTATGTATCAGGGTATTACTGCGTGTGTGCGACAAGCTGCGGCGCGGGGGTGCGCAGGCAGGAGCAGGAGAGGCAGGCGTGGGCGGCCGGGTGGGCGCGAGCAGAGGGACCAGGCAAGCTGCGAGGGGGCCGGCGGCGCGGTGACACACGCGCGTGGGGTGGGGGAGCTGCCAAGCAGACGGAAGCTCTTGTGCCCGGGGGCGGGGGGGGGGGGGGGGGGAGGGGGCCGGGAGCTCTTGTGCCCGGGGGCGGGGGGGGGAGGGGGAGCAGGGGAGCACTAGGCAGCTCACTCACACTTTGTGGCCGCGGGAAGCGGCCGGAACAACCGGGGGTTGCCGGGGGCAGGGCGTGCGCGCTGCCCGGGCTGTCCCTCAGCTGGGAGGCACAGCAGATGGCTGCGCAAAGAGGGGCGAGCCCTGCCGCCGCGCGGCTTTATCCCGCGCTCAGATCCGCTGCGCACTGCGTTTCGGGTGGGGAGGGGGGCTGCAATTGTGTTTGCTAACGAGGGGAAACCCGGCCCTCGCGTGTCAGACGCAGGAGTGGAGGGTTGCGGCCCGCCTCACGGTCAAGGTTACACACTCGGGGAGCTCTCGAGCACGTCGGCATCAACACCCGCGATCTTTAATTGCGTGGAGACGAGCTCCGCGAAAGGAGCCGGAATAAAGGACCCACTTCAGTCGCTTCCAGCTTTGCCCCATGCCCCTCTCCCGCTCCAGCAGAGGCGCGCGGATGTCAGCAGGCCGGGGGGCTGCCCCACGGCTCCGCCATCGCGCGTGGGCTCCGTCTTCCCTGGGGGAGCGGTGCGTGCAAAGCTGTGTGTGGGCGCGCAGAGCTGTGCATGAATCTGTGTGCGGGCGTGTGCGAAGCTGACCGTGTGTATGTGCGTGCAGAGCCGGGGGAGGAGAGGGGAGAGAAGGGCGGGCTACCAGGGCCGAAGCAATCTCCAGCTTGCGTGGAAAGAGGGCGTAGGCGGGAAAAGACCCCGCGGGGCGG